TCAGGAACTCCATCGCCCTTTGCCCCAAAGAACTCGACTTGGCTTGACTTGTTCTTGATACTGTGCTTGATTGGGAAGCCGTCTGCCCTGATCTGCTTATTGTCGTTCCTCCTTGCCTTAGAGCAAAGTCTTGTTTCTCTCTTTCGCTCATTGCCTTTTGGGCGGCCATAGCGTACGATATCGCCATCTTCAAAAAATGCTCCTTTGTGAGTGAGTTGTGAGGTGTTGGACGTTTCTTGGGAGTTAGTTGTCTGAGGGAGTTGTAGTCGCGTTCGGTCTTCCTTCTTGGGGGTAGTTTAGAGGACGTGCTGAAGTCTGGGGACCTTACTGCACCATCTGTCGGCCAGTGTTAACGCTTCCGAGGAGTTATGACAAGGATTGAGTCTGTCCAGAAGAGGAGTGTGTGCGCTGAGGGTGAGTGGACTGAGGGCAACGATCGGGCGAGATGGGGGACTAGAATTGGTGAGGGTTGGGTAGTTTAGTAGGATGCTAGATCAGAATCGGTTCTGTCCTGAAATGGGGGTGGGTGTGTGATATAGAGTCAGGTGATCGGAGTCTGGTGAGGTGGGGAAAGGTGGAGCGGGGTGGGTTGAGATGTGGGGGTGGAGGAAACGGGATTGAAGGCGTACGTCCTATGAATCAACGATTGGTTGGGGGCAGCAGGTGGCGATCAGTGGTGGGATGGGATCTGAGGGATGTCGGGATGGAATCGTACGAGGATCAGGAGTGGCGAGAGAAGGGAAAGATCGGGAATGTAGGGGGATGGATTCGAGTTTGAGGGGGATCAAGGCCGGGATTGGGTGGGAGTCGAGGTCGGATGGGTCGGGCTCGAGAGGAGGCGTGTTCGGGGTTGGGCAAGAGTAAAGGCCAGGATGGGGATTGTCAGCGAGGTCGGGATTGAGGTCGGGATGGGGGTGAACGGGGACTGAGGGGGACAGGGCTGAGCCCTATCAGCATCGGGGTGGAGACGAGAACGGGATGGGGATTCGTATGATGTTGGGAGTTGGGGCGAAGGTCCGGTTGGAGGTTAAGATAGGGGCGGGGTGAAAGTTGGGATCAGAGGGAACTAGGCTCGGAATTGGAATTGGTGGGGAGACAAGATCGGGGATTGGGGGGAAATCTGGGTTGGGTTGGGACGGGGTTGGAAAGGAGCGGGATTGGGGGGAGACGTCGAGGTCGGGATGGGATTTTGGGGGTGAAGGTGAGGTAGGGAATTGGGATGAAGTTCGAGATTTAGGTGGGTCAAAAGGAGAGAGGCGAGAGGAGAGGGTGATTGGGAATGTAGGGGGTCGAATTTGTGCTTTTGGAGGGATCTGGGGTGGGATTGGGCTGGAGACGAGATCGGGTGGGACTGGATCGGGGCGAGCTGTATTCGGGGATGGGAGGGGGTAAAAATCGGGATAGAGAGTGAATCTGGGGTTGGGATCCTGATCGGGATGGAGGTGGGCGGGACTGGGGGGGATAGGGATGGGTTATTATCGGGATCGGGAAGGAGGCGAGATCGGGGAGGGAGGTGGTTTAGAATGAGGTTGGGGATTGGAGTGAAGGCTAGGTCGGAGGCTGGGGTGGAGACCAGGTTGTTACAGTTAGGATCGACGGGGGCTAGACACGAGATTAGGATGGGGTCGAGAACGGGGAGGGAGAGGGTCTAAGTTGGGATTGGAAGGGAGTCGAGGTCGGGATGGGGGTGTAGCAGCTTAGAGGAGATAGAGCTCGGATCTGTCTGCGCTAGGGGGGAGGCGGAGTCAGGATGGGAGTAGTCGAGGTTGGAATTGGTGGGGAGAAAAGATCGGGGATTGGGGGGGAAACTGGGTTGTGATGGGACGGGGTTGGAAAGGAGTGGGATTGGGGGGACGTCGAGGTCGGGATGAGATTTCGGGGTGAAGGTGAGGTTGGGATTTGGGATGAAGTTCAAGATTTAGGTGGGTCAAAAAAGGAGAGAGGCGGGGCGCGGAATTGGGAGGGGGACGAAGTCGGAAAGGAAGGGAGCGAAATTCTGTCGAAATGGGGGTGGGGAGAGATTGAGAATAGTAGAGTTGAGTTCTGTCATTGGCAGAAGAGGGACGAGATGGAGATGGGATGTAGTCAAAGTTGGGTTTTGGATTTGGATTGGACGAGCGGCGGGGTAGGGATTGAGAGGGAGTCGAGATTGAGGTGGGTCAGGATCGGAGAAAGGGATGATTGGGAGAGCTCCGAAATCAGGATGGGTGGCGGTCGAGGTTGAAGTGGGGGGGAGATCGAGTAGTCGTGGGATCAGACTAAAGATGGAGGTGTGATAGGTATCGAAGGGAGGGTTAGTAATCTTCTCTAATTCGGGGCTTTGTCTTCGAGACAGGCTCGGTTATGGCCGTACCCGGATAGGTAGCGAGGGTTGTCTGGATTGAACGTAGTCCCTTCCRGCGATGGCGATTCCGGCGTTGTTGAAAGCGGTTGCACAGCTGCTTGTCGATGGTCGTGGTCGTACACCTTCTCGCGACCGTTGGTATGGGCGCGCGCCCGGGGCGCGCGCCTTAATCCTTCAGCTATGGCGTTTCCGAATTACAGATAACGTGGCGTCCCGCGCGCAAAATCTAGAGAATTCTCGCTATCCAGAGTAGAGAAACCGGCGTGGAAAAGGGCTCACCAGAGAGATAGGCGCGCGCCCGAGGCGCGCGCACGTGATGACGGGCGAGAACGGGCTATGGAGAAATAGCGCTCTTTGTGCGGCACACCCATAGAGGTGCGCGCGCGCCCGAGGCGCGCGATGGCAAAGACAGGAGCGATCGGGCTATGGCGAAATGGCGGGCGCTGTGCGCTACCCGAGTGGCGCGGGCGCATCAGCCGCATCCTCAGCATCAGTCCGGTCAGCATCAGTCCAGTTCCTATTCCACCCTCGTCAGTCCGGTTCCTATTCCGCGACAGTCCGCACGTCAGTCCGGTTCCTATTCCACCGGCAAGTCAAATTATACACTACATCAATGACCACTCACACACGCTTCTTCCGTCAGGCCGAAGGACCCCTGAGCAGCATTGATTGCTCCACCGTGGGAGGATTGACTGTCAGCTTGCCTTGTCCCTCTCTTTCCTCTCAGACCCGGTTTCCAGATCTGTCAGATAATGCCTTTGACCCTAGACAGAGCGCATCTGTTGTCCTTACCCAACCTGATCCCTCCCCATACACCTCTTTGCCCCCCTTTGGATGGTCAACCGTTTATCCTTAAACCCTAAACCCTCAGCCTGCGTTCCTATCCTCCGATCATCAAACTTGGAACCTGGCAGGGTGTTCGTCAGCTTCCAGACCTCTGAGATAAGATCTTTCTTTGCAACCCCCGTTCATGCTCCAGTATTATCATCTTCTCCCACTTGTCCTCCTTTTCCATTACGATTTCTTTGAACATCAAAATACATGAAAAGGGAACCCCCCGAAGAAAAGAAAAAAAGAGCACTACTACTCCTCAGAAATAACTGAGAGGTGCTAACAAGCCATCGGATTATAAATGATCCAATGGCAGATGTTGCCAGAGCAGCTAGGAATCTTAAAGGGAAAAAAAAATTCTGTCACAAGTGGTCATGTCGTCTGGTTCGACAGACACACTGTAATTGAAGAAATGGTATGACCAATGAGCTTTTTTGCACAATTGTCTGGAAGTCCTGAAAATTTTCTCTCCCATGGGGCCATATGTCCAACCCGTCTTCTCGTCAGGGCTGGGCATACACCCATGGGATAGAGCAGATTTTGGTGGGAAGCTCAACGGCGGGTAGTAGGGTACTAATATGCTGGCCGCTTTTCCATCAAGGGCAAGGGATTTAAGGTAAGTTGGATATACCTTATGCAAGGTAATTACGAACCAACGACCAAGTACTATAATTGATAACTACCGTCTTCGCCTGAATATAACGCCCCGTCATTATACTTGTATTTGGGGAAATTTTCAGTCCAGATGCAGCGATAATGACCGGGCGGGCGCTCCATTCAGGCGAAGACGGTAGTCATCAAACCCAGGAGAGATTGTACAGGCTTGAATCACAGATTGATAAAAGACAAAACAGAAACAGAAAAGGAAATACACCATCTTGCAGACGGCGTCATCTCTTTTTTTGCCATTCATGCCAGATCTTTAGCTGCCAACCATAGGACCACTCTTCACTTTCAGAAGCTGTCCTCTCTACACTGTCTACAGTGACAGTGCCTTCGAGTTCTGTCCTGGCCAAGACAGAAGCGGGATGCAAATCACAGAGGGGGAGGGGGTGTGGTGCGAACAGTCTGGAAACCTGATAACCCTCGTCAGCAGTAAGATGGGAGAAAGGAGGGAGGGAGGGAGGGAGGGAGGAGGGAGAGAGGGAGAGGGAGGGAGGAGGGAG